TTCAACATTTTATTATAGGTAAAAAGTTATAACAATCAACAAATTATAATGTAAAAGTTTTAAAAATTTGTTAAGCGGGCTTTATTAGACATAAAATCCAGTTAAAGGCCTCCATTTTCTCTTTAATGTGTTGAACTAAATATATTGGCAATTAATGGCCTATTGATGGAAAGTTAACGGGAAATTGCAGGCCTTTTACCATATTAATACTGACTGCTAATAAAGGCCATGTTTAAAGTATAAATATAAAACCGAATGCATTCCAATATACCTAGAATATTGTAGACATTTTATTTAATTCAGCTATATAATATATAATAGAGATAAAATGTCTTCTACAAAATGTATTTTCATAAAATATTCTAAATTAATAACATGTATGAGCAAGAAATTACAATGAATAGTGAGTACCATCAATCCCAAACCGGCCTTATGTCCACTCGTTGAGTATGTAGCAAGTGATTATCGGTGTCTCCATCTATAAACGCGGGAAGGAACCCTCCAGGGTAGCTATTCTTGAATTCGAGGGAGTAGAAAACCGGTTTTTCATCTTTATCGGCAACGCACAAAATTTGTATTTTTGTCTCATTCTTCCCTCAAATTTTCTACTCCCTAAGATTCAAGAAAAGATACCCTGGACTGTTGGAGGGTTGGGTCTGCGGCAGTTAAAAGCCTTTCTACTTTTACCTCACTCTCACCTTATCATCAACCAATATAATGCTTGACCACTATTAAAAGGACAAAAGTAGCCTTTTATTTTTTAATCCTCGCATTTTTGCTTCAATTACAGCAAAAGGCCAGCAATATCCCGGTAATTCATTGTTTGTTGGGATACACTATAAACTCATCACTAACAAGTATACCAATACAACTTTGTAAATAATTGAGGTTTGAATACTTATTGCATACAGCCCTATTAACAAGAAATTACAATTCTATCGCCTGTAGCCAAAAACCTAATAAAACAAATATTGAACAAATAGTTTGGTAGGTTGATACTTCTGAACTGTAAAGTATAACTGGATGAAAATGCAAAATAGAACATTTATTCATGAATATTCATTAAATTTGGTTTTAGTTTTATATCTATCAAATTCTTCATGAATTAATTAATGAAAAATCAGATCTAAAGCACTCATTAAGACATTACTTAAAAGTACATACCATTCTATTTTTTTTTTGTTAATTCTTGATTTTTGAAATATATGTTGCTGAATTTTATTAGGTAAAATATTCGAAGACGAATAAATAACTTTAAAAAGTAATCATTAGAAAAATGTTTACAAGGGTGTTTAAATCCTTGAACTGTATTAACCTTCACCTGGCATGCTCATCCTGAGTAATATACCTGGACTCGTGGGGTACGTACGAACCCCAGTGATAAAAATATTTGTAAATATTAATTATTTTGTCTCAAAAAAAATCAAAGATCCTCTTTAGATACCACTTTAAACTGTAGAATAGTCCGAATTGAAAAAAAGATTAGCATTCATAAAAAATCCTGAAAATTTAAAAAAAAATGCTTTTTTAAAAACAAATCATAACTTTTTTGTTTTTCGATAAAAAGGGCTGAAGTTTTAGCTGTCTTCTTCTGTTACATCACTATAAAAGAATAATAATTGTTTTCATGGGTATTTAAAAAGTATTTATTTTGAGAGCGCTATCCTACTGGCCTAGGTATAAAAGTATATCCGACTACCGATAGATATCGTTATGAGTTTCGATTTCAAAGATTTAGATTTTGAAAATCGACGAGAAAGAGCGTGGGGCATGTACGTACCCCACGAGTCCAGGTGAAGGTTAAACAAATTATATGAATTATTTCCAAGTGTGGGACAAGGTAAGTTATTTTCTATATTTTTTAAAAACTACAATATTCCAACTGATAAATGTACTGATAAAAACATTCGGTTGGTGTTTTTATACTTCCAAATAATGATTTGATATCATAACCTTTCAAATGAATAAAAATATTGTTGCTATATAAAACGAAAGTTGCAGTAAAAAGTTTTCATATATTTCCAGCTATGAATTCGAAGACATTTTATACGTGCCCTAGATTGACGTACATTCTTCGTTTCACTTATGATTTATCTACAAAAGAAGACTAGACACAAATACACAATATTTTTTGTCCAAAAATGCCCACAACGCAAAGCGTCACGACCGGTCCTGATTGTCCTGAATGTCACAGAAATGTCATCTCACTTACGGCATCCTAAGCAAGGTTGTCACATAAAAAATTCAAATTTCACGCGTTTTTTAAAGTGTCATTGATTGTCATTGATAAATGTAAACTATTAACCTTTAAATGGTTTTGTATTATTTTATGTTTAGCGAATTATAATTATACGTTATGTGTATGTAACGTCTGGGGTAACCACTTACTTAAAAATCGAAGTATGTGGGGGTAACTAAAAATTGTATGTACATTTTCATTTGACTTAAATTCCAATGTCACATAACATCAGAAAAGCTAGGAGCATCGGCAACTTCGCATAATGAAATAACTTTTGTTTTCGGAACTACGCGAGTGGAAACGAGTTGCTACGAGGGACCTTTAAATGGGTATGGCCATTTATCTCTCTCTTAATTTTGATGTTCTTTGTCAACTTTCGCATCTGGGTAATCTGTGGCTGTATTGTATAAGCTGTGAAATCACCAAAGATCTAGGGTTGAATTATTTTGGTAATGCATTTACTATCTTTTGTAATAAATATTTATTATAGACTTGAAAATTACTTTATAGCCCCATATATACGAGATAATATTTGTGGAAATGATTAAGAGTTTAATTTTTCTCATTGAAGATGATCATATTAGAGAGCTTGGATTTCTTTCTTAATTTAATTTTATATTAGCAGATATACGGGTAGTGCCTATCTACTTAGGAAGATGCACAATGAGCCTGGTGAGGCCTAAGTTCCATGGGTTAACCCACCCTCTACACTTTACAGATAAAGGATACGTGACCATCATTGAAAAGTGGTCATTCGTGTCCTAAAGGCAACCAGTAGTAATGGAAAAGGGTTACATTACAATTACAAAATAATAGATTATAGACATAAACTTATTCTGATTATTTAATTTTCGCCTTGATTTTTGGGGGTGCCCATTACTAATACCTTGAAATAAGGAAGATATCAGTTTTGGACACAACGGTGTCCATTACTGAAACAAATGGTTTTAGTAATGGTCACCCCTCTTGAAAAGGGTAAACTAGGTGCGCACTGCGTAAATAAGTTCAGTTAAATTTAGCTAGATAATTATTTTATGGCTCTTATTAGACTCTTTTTAGACCCATATTTTATTACCTACAACATTTACAATTTTAGATACCTAATATGGAAAAAAGACGGACTAAAGGAAAAGTGAGGAATTTCTTTGCTTAGAGTGAAGATGACCTAAAAAAAGCAATAGAGGCTGTAAAAAATAGCATTTCAAAGAAGATTGCTGCTCGTATGTATAATGTTCCTCATTCTATATTAGTAAGAAAACTATCTATGGCTTCTTTCACCATTAGAAGAATGGGTCCTGCAACGAAACTTTCTGAAATAAACATAAACAAAATCTCATTTTATCAATTAAAAAAATACTTAAAGAAAGTGGAAGAAAAACCAAGTATTTTCTAAATAAAACACCCAGTAGTTCCCGGTTTTAGGGTTTTTTAAGGAGGCATCCTAAAATCAAACAGAAGCATGCTGAGTCAATAAGTAAAGCCCGAGCTACCGTCTCTTAAGATAGAATAGAAAACTGGTTTGATGAAATCCAGTTGTATGTTCAGGAAGAAAACTAGAAAGATATTCTGAAGGATCCGTCGCGAATATTTAATAGGGATGAGACTGGGTTTTTGCTTTGCCCCAAAAGTGGGAAAGTTCTTGGACCTAGGATGAATAATAAGGAAGATTTTTATGTAAGGGTATGATCAGAGAAAGAGCAAATAACAGTTATGGCTTCGTTTTCGGCCGATGGAAAATATGTCCCACCAATGCTCATATTTCCATATAAAAGGGTTTCACAGTTAATTGCAGAGTCGGTTCCTGAAGGGTGGGCCTTAGGAAGGTCAAATTCAGGATGGATGACATCCATAGTTTTTTATGAATATATTTCTAACCACTTTCTCCAATACTTAAAGGCAAACAACATTCGAAGAAGTTCTTCTATTTGTCGATGGCCATCGCTCCCACATGACGAAAGAAGTTAGCCGACTATGTGATAAAAATAGCATCATATTGGTGTCATTATTTCCCAATACGACCCACCAGCAAATGTTGCAGTGTTTAGGCCACTTAAAGCAGGTTGGACATCGGAAGTAAAAGATTGGAAGTTCAAAAATTTCCCAAAGGAAGTAACACGTCATACTTTTGGGATAATACTAAAGTCTGTATTTAAAAGTTATCCAATTGTCAAACTATTTAGAACGGTTTTAGGAAAACTGGTCTGTTTCCGTTCAATAAAAATAACGTTGATTATTCGAAATATTCATTCCAAATAGAGCAATTTGTGCCGAAACTGTTCGGGGGAAAATAAATTCAAATGAAAGCCAGGGAACATCATTGCAACTTCTGCAAGTCTTGGAAAGCCAGATTCAAAAGGATGAGTGTGAAATGTTCTTAAGAACGTATGTAAACAAAGATAAGTGGTCCGGGGATATTAGTTATTTAAAACTTTATAATGTTTGGGCATCACTTAAACAGGAAACTGAAAAAAATGAAGAATTAACTAGACTTAGTAAAGATGATCACGGATCAGGAACAGAAAAACAACACAAATCATTTGAGAAATCTCCTAAGAAATGAGATTCTTCAAAAAATGAGAACATTCATTCATCACCGGTTATTGGCTCATCAAGGTGCTGAAAAACTCCACCAAGAAAAAATATTCTGAACTATGAGGAGATCGAAGAAAAGGGATATAAGGTTCCTACACCATTTAAAAAGTGTCTTATATTTCCAAATCAAGAAGAATTTTTTTTGAAAACTCCAAAGCAGAAAAGAAAAATGTTTCCTGCTGTGGTTTCTAATGGAAAGTATAGGGAATTTTATGAGGCTTCTAAGAAAAAAAATCCAAACCAAAAAATGAGGAAGGAAAATACGATTCCAAGTAAAAATGTTGATGAGAATAGCTCAGAATCTGACATCGAGGTTACCTATAATGATAAAGATCTTGATCTAAGTGAACCAGAAAATTATAAGTTGCAGACTGGCCAACACGTTATCATTAGATATGAAGACAACTATTACTCAGGTGAAATTAATTTGTTGTTTTTACTATCAGTCTGTATTTAGTTATTATTTTTAATAAATACTTTTGTTACAGGAACGGATTTAAAACATGATCTTGAAGGCGCTAAAATTAAGACCATGATAAGTGCCGGAATTGAGGCTTGGAAATAGCCAATAAAGAAGGATGTGCTCTATTATTTTAATAAGGATATTGTGTGTATCATCAACGAACCCCAGCCAAAAAATAACAGAGGTATTTTACTGTGTTAGAGATGGAATGATACAAATAAAGTGATTTTAAAAGATAGTGTCCATTACTGATTCACAAAGGGTTTATTACCAGTTTCCCTTTGACAACTACTGTCACATTTGTCAATTTTTTACTTGTTTTAAAATAGTAACTTAATTTTTTATACAAATTAATTCTAATTATAACAGTCGCAATCTGCACAAAAAACCGCTTTAAAAAGCTGTGTCAAAAAGTTATTTAGTCCCCACCCAAGAGTAGTTAGCTTCGTTTGAAAAAGACAATTGCTTAAGGGTGTCCATCACTGGGTCAATCATCCTATTTTTTTAAATTACTTTAGAAAAGTTTTTACCTAAAATTATAAATGTTGAGTTTTCTTTGTTTTCGTTTTTTACGCTGATTGGTATCTAATACAAATGTTCTATTTTACAGTGACCATATTTAAGTTTATCAATGAGTGCCTAGTGCCTAGGTGTGATAAAATTAAACTTGTGTGCAAATTTAACAGTTTTATTGTTTTTTAAGTAGTTCTTTAACATATTTTTTTTTTCGATTTGCATGTTTACTGCGAGTTTTATTTAGTAGTTCTATCCCATTCAGCCGTTTATTTACACCTGGTTTTCGAGAATAAAATTACAAAATAGTCCAATTTATGGGCAGCAGCTGGGCTCAGCAGGTTAACTATTGTGTATCGATATCTGCAGTAAGCCAGGCCGAGCGCAGTTGGTACTTGGATGGGTGACTATCTCAAATAAAGTCAGCTGACGTCCAAATAAACTGCTCGCGTAGTTGCATACCACAGCGGCAGGCGTGATATAATTGAGTACGAGGTATAGTGTAGGGTGTGCCATCTTTTCTGCCTCGAGTTCATGGATGTTGAGCTAGTTAAAAATCACTACCTTCGGTTGAATCACCAAAGGATTCAGCTAAATTTCTGGTATTTACGGGTAGCGTACTCACAAGCGTCCGTATGTAAATCTCATAGTTAGAAATAGACCGACGTTAAATAAATTAATCAATTAAAACAAATGTCTAATTTATAGAGACAGGAAAAATCTACTGAATAAAAACTGTTTGCAAGGGAAATCCTCCTAATTGAGAGTCCTACAAAAATTTTGAGAGCAATTAAAACATTTTACGAGTTTTGGTTGCGATTTTCACGAGATTACAATTAACCCTTTTGCTTTCCATACTTATCATAGATTCAAAAAACCGTCTTTAAGATATATCCCTACTTTTAATGAATTAAGTATTCCTACACCGGAAGTAGCGAAACCAGAAGAAAGAAAATGCTTGCGAAGAGAGTCTTATTGTTATTACACAGTACATGTTGTTTACGCTCTTCACCTGTACCCAGCTGTAAATAGCAAGCAAAAATTTCGTCGTGCCTCTTTTTGCAGTTAGATGAGGAGCTATAATGACGTAAGCCTGGTAGCAATTCCTTTTTTGAAATAAATTGAGACATAAATATAGTGATTTTATTAAAATACAACTATATGCCATTTTTAAAGCCAGGATTTTTCTCTTTGTCTTTCTCCTTTTGTTAATTTTTTTTCAAGTTTGCTAAGTACTAATAATCGAATTAAATTACCGGTTTTGAGCTTACATTAAATTTTAATTAGATGAAACAAAATGGATTCTATGTATTTTGAGGTGATCTTTTCGAAAAAAGGCAAAACAAAATGTAGCAGTTTTTCAAAAGTGCCGAAATTTTGGATTTTGTCAATTTTTCAATTTTGCGCATGCGCATGCCGCAAATAAATAAATATTTTTAAAACGCAGTTTACGACATTTGAAAGCTTAGAAAAAATGCTAATTTTCATGTCTCCTGAGAAATTTTGATTTGATGCACCGTTCTCGCGGTATGGACGATTGAAATTTGTTTAGTATTTTGAGGCGGCGAAGGTCTAAAAATTGAATTTGTTAAATGTTCAAACACTAAATTCTTCATAACTTTGGTAAAAATTAAGATATTTGAAGGAACAAAAATTCGTATTGAACTTAAGGGATGTGACTATTGATTTCCAGAAAGGGGCAAGAGAAATCCCAAAATTGGGCATATGGCGGAAGGGCAAATTGTACCGCAAGCCTAATTTTATTGTTTGCTTATAACGGCCAAACTATTTAAATTTGTTTAATGCTTAGGACTAATTTTCCTAAAGCTTAGGATTAATTTCCTAACATTGTTAAAGTATACCTTTTTGTATATTTTTTTGTGCTCTTCCCAATGGCGCAGTTAGTTTCTTCAAATATATTTTTTGTTAGATATTTTCGGAAAACCCGGAGAAAATCATATGGGAAAAAATTTAAAAAAATTTACGCCTTCCGGTTTCCTGCGAATTCCTGAAAAATTATGGCAGATTTCGGCGCGGGACTTATTTTATTTGAGAGCCCACAAAAAAATACGCAACTTCTCTCGTGGGCACATATGTCTAACATTTATAATTTCGCCACAAATTCATGGCAAATTTCATGTTCATGATTCTGATCAAAGAAACGAAAAAACAACTTTTTGGTAAAAGCACTTCTGGCGGCGAGAAATTCGCCATTAAAACTACCTGTGCAATGAAATTCCGAACTACTTTTGCCTTCTCTTTCGATTGGTGCATTTATTTTTACTATCAGAATAATACTTGCCCAGATAATTAGCATTTTTACCATGGAAAATTCCGGAAAACCCGGATTTTTCCTAATTTAAAAAAAATTGAAAAACAGCTACATCATTTTTTTCTTTTTTTCGGAAAGATCACATCACTTTGTTTCATCCAATTACAAATTAATGTAAGCTCGAAGGGGCTTTTTTCGTTATTTAATTGGACTATAATTATAATAATTAAATTAGAATAAAAAAAGTGTCTACTAATATGGGCTAAAATAATTTAAATTAGTCTAACTATATTTGGTCAAGTTTTCTTGTTCTAAACAAGATATAACTTATAGCTGATGATTAAAGCATTTAATAATATTTATTAAACCTGATTATACACACGAGTATAATATTATTAAACTAAAAGTAGCATTAAGTGAAAATAATAGCACCATAATTTTGATCAACGTTCCAACGTTCGATATTTCAAATTTAATTACTATTAATACGCATAGTAGTAATATGAATGACAGATCAAATCAGAGATCAAATAAATAAACTCCATTATATTACATTATCGGTTGGATATTCATTTGCAATTTGTTGTATATTCATTAACATATAAAAGTTTTGATTGTATAATTGATTTATTGTTCCCACTATATTCAAATTTAAATGGCTGAGATTTAGAGATTTAGAATTCATATTTTCATAAATAAAAACGGTATTTCTTTTTCAAGGAATTGGTATGTACATTAAGAGTTTAAAAAGATAAATAGAAAATGATTTCCCAAACTCCTACACCATTGGATAAGTCTTGTATTTAAATATCTCAAATTCCTAAACAGTAAATACCCTAAACTTTGCCTATTAAAAGTTTAAACTTACTAGTCACGTAAAAGTGGTCTGTGTAGTTCTTAGATTGCACCATTCTGAGCTCAAGATCTAAACTGTTGCGTGATATACATTATTCAGTTTATAGGGTGATCACTATGCCACATATACACCATATTTGATGTGAAAAAGATGATCGTATTGAGACTGCACTCTGATGAAATAGGTTTTCTTGAATCAAATAAATGTATTATTTATTTGAAATTGGTTTGTTTAATTCAAAACAATCAAACTTGCGCGAAGAAATTCAAGTTGAATGCAAATTCAAATTATTTATACAATTATTTATTAAAAGCATTAAATTTAAAAAATTTCTTTAATTGAAACAATGTTTCATATTTTTGGCAGTAAACTTTTATGATTTTGAATCAATTTTTAAATTTATTTAAATGAAGACTTTAAAATCTTCTAAATAAATAATTTATTTGAAACGATCATATGATAAATTTAATTCTACATTGTTTTTAAACAACTAACGCATTTGTTTGGATCAAAGAAATATTTTTTCGAAAAATGTTATGGTATTGCTAAGGGACCAATTCAGCCCATGGTAATATATTAACATATCATTAAAAATTATCCAGCTATATGCGTCTAATCACCCCATACATGTACGTTAACTATGCGCAGTGTAGAAATTTTTAAAAAATATTGTAGGATATTAATTTTTTTTTAAATGATTTGTTTAATATAGATAATGTAGACCATACTTTGAACTATTTACTGAGCCTCTCGGCGATTCCTCTTTACAGAAGTTGTTCTCGTTTCAAAACAAATTTTAAATTTGCACACAGGTACCCTAATTTCCCCTATTACACAGTTTTAAGTTAATAATAAGTTAATAATAAGTTAAAATTAATTTTCTAGTAAAATCAAGTTTCATTTTTATAGTGTCCGTCATGGGCATTTTTTAGACATACATTGGACTTCTAAATGGTTATATCCATTAGAATAATGAAACAATAATTGGACAAAATATGGACCTCCAATAGACGTCGTGTGATGTCTAGAAAATAATATAATCTGTTATTCTGAGTTGCTAGTAAGATAAATAATTCTAAGTCAGAAAAATAAAATAAAATATTTGGTGCCCCTGCTAAGCTTCCGTACAAGAACTATTATTAATCTTGAATGATCTAGAAAGTTCCGAAATTAATAATATCGGTTATTATCATTCTGAAAGGATCCAGAAAATTCTAAAAATTTCTGGAATGATCTAGAAAGTTCCGAAACTAATAATATTGGTTATTATCATTCTAAAACGATCCAGAAAATTCTAAAAATTTCTGGAATGATCTAGAAAGTTCCGAAATTAATATTATTGGTTATTATCATTCTGAAACGACCCAGAAAATTCTAAAAATTTCTGGAATGATCTAGAAAGTTTAAAAATGTGTAAAATCGATTATTATGATTCTGGAACGATCCAGAAAATTCTAAAAA